GGGTGAGGGGGTGAGCGGGCGGCGGCCCCGGGGCTGCGTCAGAGCTGTGCAAACACCGCCGCGGCGCCCGCCCCTATTTAAGGGGCCGGAGGCTGAGTCGCCCCCTAAGTCCCTTCCCTGCCTTGGGCACACGGCGGGCATCGCTCCCCCTCCTCGGGTCCGGCCTCGGGAAGGCGCAGCGGAAGAAGGTAGGAAGCCCCCCTCACTCCTCCTCTTCCTCGGACTGGGTCCCTGCTGGGGTTGGAGATGGGGACACACACACACACACACACACACACACACAGGACATGGGGGGTGTCTGGCGCTTACCTGTGCGGCGGCTCTGGAGGCATCTCCCGCACTTGGCTGGAGGAAGCGCTCCCGGGTCCGGTGGGAAGCGGGGGGGGACACACGGGAATTCAGGCTGCCCCTCACCGGTTCGCTCGGTCGGTCCCCAGCCCCGGGAGAGGGTTTGCGGGGCTGCCCGGGGCGGGGGGCGAGCGCTCCCCCTTGAAGGAGGGGGGAGATGTCAAAGGAGCAGCTACCGGGGGCGATGAGGATTTGGGGTTTGAAGTCGGCAGGGTGTCCATCAATACATAGGTATATCTGCGTAAAAAAAACAGGTCGGTTGTAAAGGTATCTGGGTGGAAACCTTTGGTTTCTAAGAACCAAAACCTCAAAAAACCCGGTTATTAATGCCCACCGCTAATAACCATGCTGGAGTGACATTTTTGACACTTTCCATTCATCTCCTAGCAATACTAAAAGAACGTATCTTATGCATTGCAAATGTTTTCTTTCCAGTGTATGTGATGGGCAAATAATTTTCTCTTCTTTTAAAACTAAAATGCTATGTTCAGTATGCTGTTGAAAAACTTAAACGATTCAAAAATTCTCACATAGATAAGTCACGTATATTTATAATGGGAAACTACCCCTCTAGCATTAAGTAAGAGGTACCTTGTTTTTTTTCTAAAAGCTGAGAGTAATTTCTCTGTTTCCAGAAAAATACTATTTCAGCTTATATGATCAAACAATCTAGTAAAATGACATCGTTTTGTCTAATACTTGTTTAACAAAGATGTAAAAAAATCTGTTAGGCTTGAAGTCTCTGTTTTTTTCATGAAGAATATTCTTAAGTTGCACATTATTTCTTATAGCTTTTAACTAAACAGCTTTTGCCACTAGTTTTTAGATTAAATGCCTGGGGGGAGGAGGGAGGGCAGGGTGTTAGATTTTGGTTTTTTTCTTTCCTTAGGATAACTTCTTGTTTTTCTTTGCTGTGTATGATATGGGGAAACCTCTTGAACACTAAAATTCAAACCAGTGAAGGGCTGATAAAGGCTCTTCATAGAAATTGTCAAAACTAAGTATTTGTAGTAACAGCAGTTTTTAGTACAACAGCAAAATACTGAAGTGTTTGAATCCTAGGATTTTTCACAGAGCTAGGTTCATCTCCCTTAAGTTTTAATGACCTACAGCTTCCAAAGCAGAAAAGCAAATAGGAATTGAGTAGATTAAGGAGACATAGCACATACTACAATGAATTAATTTTATTCCTTCCAGTGTATCTTCTTCTTATCAAGGGATATTTAACTATTCACATACGTGTTTTCCAACTTAAGACTGATCCCATAGTTACCTGCATTAAAAAAAACTCAACACAACCCCGGTTTGCTCAGAAACCAGCAGCCTCGATGGAAGATGGGGGTAGGGGCAACATGCAACGTAGTAAATCTAAATTTTAACAGCCTCTCTCTCCTTTTCTCTCCAGCAATGTACAGTGGTATATGCATCTGCGTGTTCCTTGCTGTGCTCTCAGCGAGCTCTTTGGGACAGCAAACTGTGGGCTCGCACAATGGGAATCCACTGCCTGCTGAGCTCGAGCAGAGCTTGACAGAACGTCACCGGCACATCCGTGCCCCCTCCTCTACTGGCCCCCTGAAATCTGTGTCACGGCTGGATGGAAGCACTGAGCAGAGAGCTAACATCGGCGCTTTGTTGGCCAAGTATCTCCAGCAAGCCAGAAAAGGTACTGATTATAGCTTACTTACTGTGCTACTTCTGCATCAATGGAATTTCCAGCAGGGATACCTAGGTGTTAAGATTTCCTAGAGAAGACAGGACAGAGATTTTACCTGGTTATTCCTGAAGTAGAGAACGTTCTCTTATTTATTGTGAAACTCCCCCCAAATACGTTTGTACATAGCAGGCACTGGCCGAGAGCCTGCGTACAGGTAGCTCAAGAAAATGTAACCTACCTGTCAGGTCATAGTTCAGCTTTTATTTTTAACTTGCTATTTTCATAGCCTTGTAATTATTTTGGTATCGTTTTCACCATGTTGTGAAAATGGTCTCAGATAAAATACAATAATTGCATTTTCTTCAAACTTTTTAATTTACTTAACATCCTCCCTCCCTTTTTATAAGTTAGAAGAGCCGGAAAACTTTTCTGAGGCTAAATACAGACCAAATGGCTAACCTCACCTCAGCCAGAAATACCTGTACGAGGGAAATCTTCTGAGTATTGGATTTTCGATGTATTTGTTCCCAGAGGGAGTTACAAAAGTGGGAAAGCTTTTGAAAGATCAGCGCTCACGTTTATGAAGACAGTATCTAAAAGCAGTGATAAGTAAAAGCACATACACTTCAAAACATGTCAATTCCTATTAGGTTTTTGGTCCTAGGCAGCCTTGGAACACAAACTTGCAGTTACTTGAAACCTCCATGGCACTGTATTTGTAACTAGGGTGTGAAGCACCACTAGAGTAGTGAAATTAAAGGGCTTCACTCTTATGTGATTTATTAGTCACCGGAGGAAACAGTGGTATTGCATATATGAACTAGCATGAGGGAGTAAAACTGTCCCTATTGACATCATGCAGCATGTGTTTTACATGGACACAAACACATGCTGTCTGTGCTACCCGTGAAAACGAAGCACCAAAATAATTTCCCACTGAACCCCCTGCCAAGAAACCATTTTTCCTTTTGAACTGTCTCATCTCTGTATTGCTTTCTATCCCAGTAGAGAACACTATGGGCAGGCTAAATGCTGTAGCCTTTTGAGTGCCAACCTCAGCAAAAGCCACTACACAAATCTTGTTTACTTGTGATAGCTTCACTTCAGTCTATCCACTGTACTGCAGGGAAAGAGGACATCTGAGAAGCAAAGAGGGCCGAGGGAAGGGCAGTAATGAGAATTAGCTGGACATACAGACATTGAAAAACTAATTCACTCCCAGTCCCAGACTGTGCTTAGGATAAAATTCACTTTATGCAGGAGATTTCTCCTCTCCTGTCTACAAACATAGGCACATCATTTAACCCTCCCCTCTTGAGCCTCACTGCTGACCTCTATGTTAGGCATAATCCTATTGTTATTTTTGATGACAGTCTGCAATTTGGAGATGCCACATATATTTTATGCCTTACATATACAGCCATACACATTCATCTGTGTACACAGCATAGGACCAAATCAAACACCAGAAACAGAACCACTTTTAGTATGATCTGAGAGACTTCATCTCACGTTACCACTTTGCACAATATCCATTAAAGAACTTATTTTAGCAGTTCACATAATCTAGTGGAAAGAGAATTCAGATATGAAATTCCACAATTCAGGGCAACAGTTAAAGCTGTACTGAATAAAAATCTTACTGCAGGAATCTGCAAAACAGAACCCTTCCTACCTTTCCCCTGTGTCGTGATTGTCACTCACCTACACGGAAACCAAACTCCTCTCTCTAGTTTATGTAGCCATTATATTCTCTTAAATATCTGGCTGACATTTTCAAATAGCTTAGTCAGAGGGAGTCGAAAAAAACACTTTGGATTTAAGATGTCTTTTTGGTAAGTATTAATGTGAGGGAGAATTTCCTGCATACTTGTTAATTGACATATCTAATTAACTCTACAAAGTGACTGTTAGCAGATGATGGGATTCTTGTGACATGACAAGGCTAGTTGGACTCTGGTCTGTAGATGTAACTCCTAGTTGCAGAAGAGAAGATTCAGAGGGGACAAACAGTATTTTCTTAATTTATAACAGTACTTACAGTGTTCCCATCAAAACATTATAGTCTCATTTAACATAAAGGTTCTGGGCAGTATTTCAGAAATCTCTGCAGAACACTCACTTTTACTGCATTAGTCACTTGTAACCTGTCTAAACCATAAGACTCGCTAGAAAATTCCATCTAGGGGGAAAGAGCATCCGGGCATTTGTTGGTGTTAACAATCATCGTTGATGACATTTGCCCTTGTGATTAATAGAAAGGCTGATTTTGGACACTATTTCCAGTTAAAACAGTGAGAGAGTTAAATGCTCTCAAGAGGTTAAGGCTCGATGGCAGCCTCCTAGCCAAACTGTTATGATTTTGGATGCGTTTGCTGTAGGTTGATCCTGCAGGCCCTCTCTGGTGGTTTGAGGAAAGGTGATTGTGGTGCTCTTAAAAAATTCATTTTACTGTTTATGGCCCCTGGCTTTCAATTAACTTCATCTCCAGGCTTTCAGCATGAATCTGGCACTGTGTAAATGAGACATCGTAGCTGTCAAGTCAGTGACACACACATTTACTGTCCTCTAAGGAGCTCTTGCCAGGCCAGACCATAATAGCACCAGGGGAACCATTACAGCCCACAGGTCACTGCAGGCTGAGAAATCTCTTAAATACCAACATCTGAGAGATGGTTCTGCACTTAGCCCTGTCTGATTATAGTGCCAAGAAGCCATTCTTGTCAACTTAATTACATATTTTGGATTATGAATATGAATTTCATGGGGTTTGAGCATTTATCAGTAGACAAATATTATTTTCTATTTTTTTGCCACTTTGCTTTAGATAAATATCTAAAACATGGCTGATTTCGTTTTTGGTACCTTTAACTCTTCTACCCCTCTGCATCCACTAACAAAACAGGGCAGTTGTTTTTTGGTTTTAATGGGTCATCTTCATTATAAATGATTATGTGAGGAAAAGCTTGAAATATAAAAGCACAGAGTCACCAAAGGTTTCTTTGAAACACAAGAAACCATAAGCAAGACAATTTTGTAGATATGGATTTATGGGGATTGATTTGGGCTGCTTTGCTTTTTTGATGAATTCAAGCATTCCTGAAGCCTCAGTCTGCACTGAATACTGGTGTATCGAATCTCTTCCTTCCTCACTCAAGGATTAAGCTCAATCTAATTATTGGCATATGACAATTTTGCCTGTATTCAGGGAGCACAGAGAGAAGTAATTTACCTTTCCCTGCGTTTTAGTTACGTGATGCAATGATGTCAAAATAGAGGATGACGTCCTATTTTTTTAAAGCATAAATCCTCTTTGCAAATAATTTGCATCTCTTTGATGCCCTGATGAAGGGTGACAGAAAGGCTAAGGTGAGATCAGAGACCAGCATCCAGCCCTGCTGTGGAAGAATTTATGATAGCTTTAGATGAGCAATGAAAATACCACTGACACAGTAATAAGCCCTGTATAGTTCTAGCAACAGACATCTCTTAAGTCTCAATTCCAGACACAACTTTCTCCATTCAAGGACTATTCCCACTTCTCCACAAAACCTGGGATTCATAACTCTACCTTGCTTGTTACTGAATTTGCACGGCAAGAGCTCCTGTACTTACTCCTGGCTCTTCAAGCCCCACAGGACTGTTGTGGGGTCCTGTGTTGGGCTCGAGCTCCCCCGCAAGCAGAGGTGTTTTGCCTCTAGAGCAATTCTCCCAACATCAGCGGGCAAGGGGGTGGGGGCTGATAGAAAGAATGAGAAATTATTTGGACTTTCTCTTTCCAATGAAATAGAAAAGAAAAGGGAGAAATGCACCCATATTCCTTCCTGGCAATCAGGAGGGAGAAAAAATACCTATTTTACAAGAAAAACCCAAGCAGCTTTCAGAACATTACCCAAAACGCTTCTATGACGTTTTCCCCAGTGACGTGACAGTGGTGTTACGTGGCCTGTGTTAAATCAAACAGCTTGAACTCTTGCAGACATCTGCTAATGAGTACAAAACAGATCAGAAAATGCACAAAGCTGAAAAATGTGTCCACTTACTCTCTGCTCCCCCAAATACTTTTTGTGTAGGTCCCACCGGAAGACTCTCCGTTATGGGAAACAGGGTACAGAGCATTGATCCTACACACAGGATAAATGACAGAGACTACATGGGCTGGATGGATTTTGGACGCCGCAGTGCTGAAGAATACGAGTATTCCTCCTAAAGAACAGCAAACTATAGCAACAGAAAAAAAAATATAAAAAATCACACTCCCATGTCTGTACAGAAAGAGAAAAATTAATTTGTTGTCCTCTTTGAATCAGTGTTTTAAAATGTCTCATGTATTTGATGTAAATTCGTCTGTAAGACTATACAATGCAATATATACATATGCAGAATTTTCCAGAAAATGTTTTCTTTCTTTTGTGGTTTCTCATACACTGATATTAAAATGATTTCACTTATCCCTTCTTGTCCTGTCACGGCATGTTGCTGGGTGTCTTACTGTAAAGAGAGGCAGAAAAATGCCTTCATTCTGCAATATAAACATATTCCATGTGCTGAGTACTCAGACAAATGAGCCACTTTTGAGAGAGATCTTGTGACAGTCCCAATAGCTGTGAACTCTAAGAGGAGCGTGTCCACATATGAACACAACAGCCAGAAAAGACCAGCTGTCTTCATGGTGACCCCATTTATAAGGGATTGAGTTCTACACCAAACCCACCTGTTTGTCATGAATGGTCAACAGTGCTAAAACTAAAAGAAAGAGGACCAGTGTTTCACCTTCCTGGCTTATTTATTTTATGTTGTCAACTAAATGTGAAAGTCCTGCTGACGGCTGCGAGTCACAGAATAAACAGAGCATTCCCTGCCGTGTGGTTAAACCAAGCGTTCATTCGGGGAGGGGGCGAGGAAAGGTCCCTGAACAGAGGCAGAAGATGCTCCAGAGGGAATCGTAGAATGGTAGGGGTTGGGAGGGACCTCTGGAGATCATCTAGTCCAACCCTCCTGTCAGAGCAGGTTGCACAGGAACGTGTCCAGGTGGCTTTTGAGTATCTCCAGAGATGGAGAATCCACCACCTCTTCTGGGCAGCCTCTTCCAGGGCTCTGCCACCCTCACAGGAAAGAAGTTTTTCAGCATATTCATGGGGAAGGGGAAGAAGAGGAGGGGGAGGAGGCATCAGAGCAGCCTAATCACAGTGTGCCAAAAAGAAACGGGTTGCTTCCAGCAGCCCAAGCTGGTTCTCACCTGCTGGCCTGGAGAGGAGGGGGGAGATGGTGCCCAGCCCTCACCTGGTACAGGGCAGGGCAGTGAGCCCCACTCTGGTAGCCAGGCAGCGAGCCCTGCTCATGCAAAACTGGCACCCTGGGGACTACCCAGCGAGTCCCCTCGGCGTCCTTCCTGCAAAAGGTGTTTTACTCACACTTTTCTCCTTCCCCCAGGTAGGTAACCCCTCCCGGGTCTGCCTCAGCAGCTGCTTCTCACAACTAAGGAAATCCCTACACTGAAAAAGGGGGGGGGATTTTGCGTTGCATAATTCACAGAATTTCTCCTGAATATGTACATTAACAAGAAAAAGAATGCATTTTTCATATGCTGAAAAGCAGGTGCTTGCCAAAGAGGCAGGTGAGCATCTCCGTAGTGATCTCTACAGCAGGCAGTACACAAAAACGATGCACAGAAAACAACACACAGAATGTTTGTACTAAACTAAAATTCTACCAAAACCAAGAAGACTGGGAGACAAAAAAAAAAACCACAAAATAATGGGCCGAACATAGAAACGTTTTGTGTTGTTCCCAGGAGCAGCTGGGAGAAAAAGAGAGAGCAGAATCACAGAAATCCACAAGGAAAGGGAGACTTCAGCAAATGGCAATGGGGAATTTTCTTCTCCAGTAACACCAAACCTCTCTTTTTTGTGGCTCTCCTCTTGAAAAGTTGAACTGCTTTTCTCCATGAACTCTTCTTCCTCTCAAGCTCCTTCCAGTCAACCAGTTTCCAAGCCACCTAGTCTGGCTTTTCTCAGTTCCTTTCCAAACATAATGAGTCTCTAACCACCTGATTTCTCTCCTTAGTTTTGACTATTGCCCACAGGAAAACAGCCTAAAGTGCCCATTTTTCCCAAAACTTTCAACCAATTAACATAGGGTTTTTTAACTGAGGAAAATACAAATCAACCTAAAAATGCACACATTTCTCACTAAAGTGATGCTTCTTTGAAAGTAAATTGGGAGAAAACTAAGTTTCCATTTTCCAGTCTTTTAGTGACAGGAACATTCAAACAATATTTAAAAGTGTTTCTATCCTTACTGAAGGATGCAATATTGTCAGGGGGGACTGCGTGATGTTAAAAATCTACTCTTATTGCTGGGGAATGTTATAATTAGGAAAAAAAAAGAAACCCACAACCTTTTCCTCTTGTTTTTTCTTCTGTCTCATTGTCTCCAGGCAGGGGAATGGAGGGATGAAGATGTTTCATCTTGTTCCTCTCCCTTCTGTAGGTCTCTGAAGATGTCCATGAAAGTGCATGGCTCTCAGCACAGCTGGATGATCATTTCAGGGGCTTTTACAAGTGGCTGCCCCAGGACAGAGGCACCTTCTAATCACCTTGTGTTGCAAAACTCCTGCCCTGAGAACAAGACCATGGCAGGGCTGGAGGGACTTCTCTGCCCTCGCAGCTATCAGGGCTGGGACTTACTGTATCCCCAACAGGTGAATACATCCATGATTCCCAGGCACAAAATAATGCTTCCACCCCTGCCAAGCCATTATCACCCTTCCCTTTGACCAACCATTTGCTCATTTTAAATCACAAAACTGCTGATTACAGAAGTAGTTTCACCTGTGAAATGTGCTTTCTCCCTGTGACCCTATTGAAAAGTTTGTCTGGTTTTGAGAGCGATTAGAAGCGCTCTTTCTCTTTGCCAGCCCACCACCAGCGTGACACTTGTAAGTAATCACATCTGCCACCTTTCCTGGATGCTGGAGAGCTTCAGACAAACCTTGGTCTAATTTTTTTTTACAGTCACTGCACATGCCAGTTTTAATATATAAGCTGTAACAGAGCTGTAAAATAGACCAGGGAATAAACAGACGTGTAGTGATGCGCCTGGCATCCAAATGAGGATTTAAAACGTACCTGATTTCATCTTTAGGTTTTTTTTTCCCCCTATCTCCAGGTAAATGAGGGCTGCCTCCTGAGCAGGCGTTGGAAGAACTATCAAATGAATGTGTCCTTTGCAGTTGTCCTGATCCTGTGGTGGTACGTTTGCTGTGTTTGCAGATGGTTTTGGGGGCCACCCCTCCCTCGGTCTTTTAACAGAAAAGAGCTTCTTACTGAACCTCACCTGGATTTCAGGCAGGTGTTGAGCTGCCCAGCCCTGACAGATCTGGATGGAGATGCAGCCTGAGGCAAGGCAATGCCGCACACCCACAGCCCTGCTCTGGTGAGGGACCTCTGAGCCCAAGCACAGGGGCAGGGAACTGTTCAGGGTTGCATGTCAGGTCATACAGGCTTCAATTCTGCCTAAAGAACCCTTCTTTACCACCTAAAACCCAGCACAAGGCTGACATGGTGGTTTTGGGTGCTGCTGAGATACAACCTTGGAGTTGCAGGGGACATCTCTTCTTCATTCTCGACACTTGGGACAACTGCAGTAATCATCATGGTAGGACGAACTGTTGCTCTAGGATGCTCCTGGAGGTGAGGGGGAACTGGCTGTAAGCATCTCAGCAATGTCCTCCTCCTCCTGAAAACATCAGTCACCTGCTCCTCTTCTTCTCAAAAGAAATTCCCAAGATGGGAAAAGGTTGCAAAGGCTGCTGAGACACCCTTCAGCTCCTGGCTGACCTGGAGGTGCTAAGTGGAGGTGAACAGGGGGGTTCAGGAGGGAGGGAGGTGAATTCGGGGAAGTCAAGCAAGCCTGGTAGCTGCAATGCTCATCCCAGGGCATGAGTGACCCTGCAGGCTGCTCAGCTTTAGCCCAGGGGAGACAGCAGCCTTGGGGATGGAGCCCTTGCAGCTGGGTGTGAGCCCCTCGGGTCCAGGAAAGGCTTTGGGCTGGGAAGTGCCCTGCAGGTTTCAGCACACACGGCAGCACGTTGGCACAGCCCCCTGGTGCTTCTCTAGGAGGTGCATTTCCTGGCACTGCCAACTCTCTGACATTTCATTTAGCTGCACTTGAACGTGTCTTTATTGAAGTGCATGTGCAGGGGTTAAATTAACACCGACAAAATAGCAAATCAATAGCTTTCTGCACTTAAAGACAGTTTGTTTTCTCCATGTGCCTGATTCAATTAGCTCCGTTCCCGCTTTATTAACTTAATTTCAAAACAGGTGCTGGGCGAATCTCCAGGAACAGAGCAGCTCGCTGCAAACTCCAGGTAAACGAGCAGGGAAGAGTCGGTGGCAGCTGACACACACACACACACACACACAGGACATGGGGGGTGTCTGGCGCTTACCTGTGCGGCGGCTCTGGAGGCATCTCCCGCACTTGGCTGGAGGAAGCGCTCCCGGGTCCGGTGGGAAGCGGGGGGGGACACACGGGAATTCAGGCTGCCCCTCACCGGTTCGCTCGGTCGGTCCCCAGCCCCGGGAGAGGGTTTGCGGGGCTGCCCGGGGCGGGGGGCGAGCGCTCCCCCTTGAAGGAGGGGGGAGATGTCAAAGGAGCAGCTACCGGGGGCGATGAGGATTTGGGGTTTGAAGTCGGCAGGGTGTCCATCAATACATAGGTATATCTGCGTAAAAAAAACAGGTCGGTTGTAAAGGTATCTGGGTGGAAACCTTTGGTTTCTAAGAACCAAAACCTCAAAAAACCCGGTTATTAATGCCCACCGCTAATAACCATGCTGGAGTGACATTTTTGACACTTTCCATTCATCTCCTAGCAATACTAAAAGAACGTATCTTATGCATTGCAAATGTTTTCTTTCCAGTGTATGTGATGGGCAAATAATTTTCTCTTCTTTTAAAACTAAAATGCTATGTTCAGTATGCTGTTGAAAAACTTAAACGATTCAAAAATTCTCACATAGATAAGTCACGTATATTTATAATGGGAAACTACCCCTCTAGCATTAAGTAAGAGGTACCTTGTTTTTTTTCTAAAAGCTGAGAGTAATTTCTCTGTTTCCAGAAAAATACTATTTCAGCTTATATGATCAAACAATCTAGTAAAATGACATCGTTTTGTCTAATACTTGTTTAACAAAGATGTAAAAAAATCTGTTAGGCTTGAAGTCTCTGTTTTTTTCATGAAGAATATTCTTAAGTTGCACATTATTTCTTATAGCTTTTAACTAAACAGCTTTTGCCACTAGTTTTTAGATTAAATGCCTGGGGGGAGGAGGGAGGGCAGGGTGTTAGATTTTGGTTTTTTTCTTTCCTTAGGATAACTTCTTGTTTTTCTTTGCTGTGTATGATATGGGGAAACCTCTTGAACACTAAAATTCAAACCAGTGAAGGGCTGATAAAGG